AACTAGGGATATCCTGACTTCCATTCCTATCTGCTAGCCTATGACACTTAGGTCTCGTGTGTCCTAAAGCACCACAGTGATGACAAGTGGGTATGAACCTAGGCTCAAATGCATGTGATTGTTGGTGCTAAAATTTTGGTGTCGAAATCTTATGGGCTCTAGTGGCATTCAGTTCAACGACAATCTTATTTTTGGATTCACGATTGATTGAATTACTAAAATAGTTGGAAGCAGGCACGAATGTGGTCTTGGATGCACTAGTCACGTTGCTATCACTCTTCACAAATCCTAGACGTTGCCTATTCCCAGTTGGTTTGTTCATTCCTAATTGGTCATCTAGTTTCTTAGTCCCACTCATAAAAGACTGCAGTTGAATATTAGATTTCTCTAACTCACAAGATAGTGTCTTAACCTTGTCCTCTAGCTTCTCATTGACATACTTCAACTCACTAAGGTTTTTAGATGAGACCTGAAGATCATTAGTGAGTCTCTCTTTCTCTCTCTCAAGCTCGTCTACCTTCTTAAATAGGGCCTTATTTACCTTTTTGATCTTGAGATTTTCCTTAATCAGAAGTTGATAAACCTCATGTATATCCGTCTCATCCTCAATATCGTCACTACACTTCTCACTCTCTACATCCTCCTCAACCTTTTCGCCGTCCTTATCTGACTCACTCTTAACTGTAGACACAAAAGCCATATAACCCTTTTTCATCTTCGCTACTGGAGAAATCCCTTTGATCACTTGAGTTTGAATCATCATCAGTCAATGACACAGCTAATGCCTTGCTCCTTCCCTTTTTCAAATTTTTCTTAAAGTTAGGACATTCATTCCTATAGTGCCCAAGTCCCTGACACTCATGGCACCTAACAACTTGAGATTTCTTACTAGACTTTCTAGCAGTTGGTTTATCACTCTTCTCTTTTTGGAATTTACTAGGGACTCCTCTATTTTTGTCTTGGGACCATCTCTTGCCCTTTAAAGCTTTCTGCAACTTCTTTACGAAGTAAGCTATTTCCTCATCTCTAAGGGTTTCTATGTCAGATGACTCAGACTCTTCTTCTCCAACTGTGTTCAGTGCTATGGACTTGTTTTTCTTAGGTTGTGAGATGGTGAGTTCATAGATTTGAAGGGATCCTACGAGTTCTTCTATATTAACCGTGTCCAGATCCTTACTCTCTTCAATCGATGTAACCTTAGGTCTAAATCTCTCGGGCAAAGATCTAAGAATCTTTCTCACAATTTTCGACTCGAGAATCTTCTCACCTAGATTGAAACTAGAGTTTACAATGTCATTCAATTTTGCATAAAACTCATCAAACGATTTATCATCCTTCATCCTGATTTCTTCAAACTTAGAGGTTAGCATTTGCAATTTTGAATTTTTTATGATTTTAGTTCCCTCATGCGTAGTCTCTAGAATGTCCCATGCCTCTTTAGCAGTTTCACACATTAACACTCTCCTAAATTTTTCGGGAGACACGACCATAAACAAGGCATGAAGTCCTTTGCTATTCCAATTGTAATAAGCTAATTCTTCCTTAGTCCAAAGTGAAATATCAGTTAGATTGACAACACTTGACACAGTTGTGGAAGAAGGTTTCCAACCATTTTGTACACTCACCCAAACATGTTCATCTAAAGACTTGAGAAAAGCACGTATCCTAACCTTCCAGTAGGCATAGTTGCTTCCGTCAAAATACGGAGGCATAGACAGTAATTAACTCATCTAGACAAAAATGGGTCAAGACTCGAGTTTTAGCTTTGATACCACTTGAAATAACGTAGTTTGACCCAAATAACACCTAGATGGGGGGTGAATAGATGTTTATGCGAAATTTTACAAATTAATTAATAAATGCAACAAGTCACAATTATTGATGTGTCCAAGTCAATTCACATGCTTTACTATCCTACGTTGAATTACCGAAAATAAGTAAATTGTAGAAATATAAAGAACACAGTTGTTTGATGACGGAGAAACCCCAATGTGGGTAAAACTCCGAGACCAATCCAGTAGTTTCCACTATACCAATCCAGCAAGTACAAGTTCTGCCAAACTCCGTACCCAGTTAGATCCGCTGTTCCAGTCTCACGATCTACTATCATAGATACTACTAGTCTCCTGCTAGCTTCCCGATCTACCTTCTGCAGCCCAATCTGCTGTCCAATACAACCTCCTGATTTTTAGCTGATTGTATCACCAAGTGGAATTTCAAGAACCTCCTGCTTTTGTCCAGTTCCTGCGCTTGTCGTCCACCTCTCTCAATCCCCCAATGAAAGAGTCTGTTCCTCAAAGGATTGAGGAACCACGGTGTTTTGTCTTCGAGTACCTTGATGTTTTCCCCAAAATTAATGGTTGTTGAATCACAACATTGATGTAGATGAAATCCCCAATTAATTTCGTCTTGGATCACTTAGCCACAATATTTTGACCCAGTTGCTCATGTAATTCCTTTACAAAACTCTTCCTAAGCTGCCAACAATGTTGTGAATATATATATAATAAAAATAGCCCTCAATTGTTGACTTTTCAAAGGAACTCCAAGTGATGGTATATTGATTTTGTTATTCCTAGAAAGCTGCTCAATTCTTGACTCCAGCAACATGTGAATTTTATTCAATTCATTCCCAAATCTGCTTCAGTTTTTTCGTGAATATATATACCAAATTCGAGCCCCAGCAGCTTTTAATTCCAACCCTTTTCTGCCTCAATTTTCGTGTAGTTATATCTTCCAATTTTAGCAACCAAAGGCAGCCTTTTATTCAATTCCGAGGTTTTGTCTCCTCAATAGTAGTCACCCTTTTCTGCCTCCGTTTTGTGCGAATATATATGTTTAAATTCAGCAACCGACCACCCCTTTAATTCCTCCAGCAATCTCTATAATTCTGTCTCCCACAGATGTCGACACCAATGCGTAATGTATAAAAAAGATAATTCGTCCCAGCCGACAGCCGCTTCTTGTATCTCTCTCTTTATCCCAGGCGGCTCTACCTTTCTGTAGGCGTGTAGAGGTATATATATAATTTTTGGTTGGCTCCCTTTCCATAAACAAACCAAACCCTAACAACTATACAATATTGAACATCAAGCTTTGACTTTTAAACATGTTCAATTAAGTTCCCTTTTCGTTCATAGAATGCCAATTACAATTTTAGTCATAGCAATCCTAATTCGAGTTCTTTAGAAATTTGTTGGAAATAGATAACAAGCCAAATTTTAGAAACTCTATAATCTCAAAATCTGAGTGGGTGTTTCAGCCGGGCAATTTTTTAAATTTCATTTTTAGGTTAATTAGCTGCATAGTGGTTGTTTGGACTACTACAAATGATCTTGGCATGTTGCATGAGACCAAGAAATTTTTCTCTAAGAACTTTGAAATGAAAGATATGACATCGGCAAACTATGGGATAGGAATAGAAACATTTCGAGATAGATCACAATGAATGTTAGGGTTGTCTCAAAAATCATCCAATAATAAAGTTTTAAAGAGATTCTAGATGGCGAACTGCTTTGCAAGTGTCGTTTCAATTCAAAAAGGAAACAAATTCAATCTTATGCAAAATCCAAAGAATAAATTGGAATACACTCTTAAGGTTTTAGCAATAGAAGTTGCAACCTAAAGCTTTTCTCTTACTAAACTTACGAAGAAATTGAGGAAATTTTCATTATTACTCCAGCACGGCTCAAGGTCTGTTTTGTTAAAAACTCGTAAAATAGAATAATTACCGCCAGTTTTGCAGGATTTTGAAAAGTCAAAAGTTATTTCTAAGAATAAGAAGTTGATTTTTGAACATCTTTGGATACTTTTTGTAACGATTCAACCTACGTGTCGAAGCAGTTAATTTATGTACTATCCACTTTGAGAGAGCTTGATTTCTATCGCGTCCTTAGGATTCGAACCCTTAACCAACTTAAGTGTCTCATTAGGCAGAGGTCTTGAGTTCAAATCCTAAAGGACGCAATAGAAAACAGTGAAGGGGTAAGTGGGCAGATGACCACCTAAAGCGGACAATACGCATGATATAATGGTTTGAGCATAGAGGTCGCATCGTTACCAAAAAAAATGCACATTTTTTTAACAACTAATTTCTATGTCGAAATCGTTAAACTTATGTATAGTTCGCTCTCAAAGGCCACATTGGAGAGAGAGGTGAAACTTGGAAGTTGATTAGACGCTCGTGATTGATCGTGAAATAGTTGCCACCATGAGTAGCGTTCTCTCTTTTTGTGCATAAAATTGAAATATGCGTGGAGTGGTTTGGGGGTGTTAAATTTGGGATGGATTTTTTTTTTTAACAGTCTAGCTTATAAAATTATCAGGTTAATATTATTTTTGAATTTTAAATTAATATTTTTTAAAATATTTTATAAAATCAAGATTAGGACATGGATAGCAATATTTGTTAAATCAGTAAAAACTTTTTTATTGATTTTATTGATTTGACTCTGAAATAAGTAAATTATTTATTTTAGGCTGATGTTAATAACTAACGTCTTTTACAAGTAAGAAAAATATAAACATAGATATAATAAAAAATTACTTTAAATAGATCTAATTTAACGATAAGTTTAGGAGGTTGTCACATTTGTTGTGCATTGAATCAAATATGCACTTTACAATTCAAGCTATCTTTATTTACATATTTTACTGATACCAGTTTGATTATGGACAATGTGAATGTTAATCTATACGATTGTTTCAGATTCTGGGAAGACATTGAACCAGCCCTGGGAATCAGTTACCATTGTTGATGACAATACAAGAAAGAAACTTTATGAAATAGAACCTCATGGAAGTGATCTTGGCAGCAGTGATGGTGTATGATTCAACCCATCGTAGCATATGAAAATTGAAAGTACCACATTACTTCACATCTTTACAAATCCATAAGTGTTCTGTTCCATTTCATTCTATATAATTCTAGCCAACTGCTTAAATTTAAGTGCTATGCATATTCTTCTGGACGATGATTGAAGTGTTCCTGAACAACATTAATATGTGATGTACATATTTGATTGATGGTCAAAGTTTTTGTTCATTTTTTTCTCTCTTGGTAGAGGGCTTCTGACGAATGGACTTCGTTGGTTGTTGCTCTTACGCTTGATCCCCCGTTTTACATGATTCCTATTAGTTGACTATGAAAAGGTCTGGTAACAAAATTGAGGAAATTGCACCAAAACAATAGTAATGATGATGATGATCAAAACATATCAATCTATAAATCCACTATTTACAGTTTTAACCATTAATGATACGCAATAACAGTTATGGGTTTGCTTCATAAATTCTACCATCCAAGTTTTCATACTGTCATAAATTTCAAAATGCAGATTTTTTGAGCTTTCTTGAGAAAACTTGTTAGTTTCAAGACATGCCAAGTGATGTCGTACCTTATTATCTATTTTTAAGCTTTCGTGGTTCATTATCCCAAAGTTCTGGAACAGATTTAGTTCTCTAACGATGAGTCATTTGAGAGTTGCATGCAATTTAAATGGCAATTTTTGACACTTGAAGGCCAGATTTATCAATTTAAATAGATTGGGATCTCACTATTGAACTATTAACGGCCAAGGCAATAGTATAGCACAATACTGAAAGTTTCCCAAAACAATGACCGAGCAGTCCTACAAGTTCTTACAATGAGTATGGAGCATACCAATAAAACATTATAGTTTTTAACGATCTAGCTCAATTAATCTTCTCGTGCTTTTGATGTAGGTACCAATTAAGTCAAATAAATCAAACTAATTATCCAAATGTAAGAGTGAACGTCGTAATTTTAATCGGTCTTACAACTCTATTATAACAAATATTCCATCGAAGAAAAACTCAAGCTAGCTTGGACACAGGGCGGACGCAGACATTTTACATAAAGGGGTTACAATCAAATTTTTAAAAAAAATAAGAAATTTTTTTTATTACTTTTTATGAGTTATAAACTGTTATACTACTTTTTCATATTAATTATTTTTATATCTAAAATTTTTATATATATATAAAAAAAATTTGATCATTTTTATGAACAATAATAAAAAAATTCCTAAAAATGATTGAATTTTTTTATATATAAATTTTTTCAGATATAAAAATAGTCAAGATGAAAAAATAGTATAACAATTTATAACCTCTATGAAGTAATAAAAATTTTATTAACAAGTTTTACGTCCCAAAAAATAAAATTTGAAGTCATACCACATATAAAGTTTTATAATAGAATAATGTAAATTATATTGAAAAATTTTTCGCGCAAAATAATAAACATTAATAAAATAATTGACTTTTTTTTTCAAAAAAGTCGAGTTATACGTCTCTTTTTAGTATAGACGTTTGACGTACGTTTAACTATTTTTTATATTCATTTAGATAATTCGATATGTTTATGATATAATTTTCGAAATGGGTTTCGAGAAGATATAGAAGATTTATGGATATGACTAGCGTATAATCGTTGAAATTTTTTTAAAATTAACTTGTTATTGAAATTCTCGAAATATTAGTTTGGAACTACTTATTTTGATGCGTCGTAATATTTACTACGATTGACCATTTCGTACAATATTAACGACGTGAAAATACTAGACTGTGAGTATTTCAAAATGATATTAAAAATGTAATATTTCAATTTCGTTTGATATTTCATAATGAGCCCAAAAATTAAGAAAAAAATTGAAAAAATTGAAGGGTTAAGTAACCCTAAGGGACCCCT